CAATCATGGTTTATGCATTCCTGATTGTAAAATATTTCATCTGACGTATCTTCGAATCCACTTTCTTCAGCATCGGATATAGGTTGCTTTGTTTCTGGTCGTAATGCAGTTTCTGTTAACAGATCTGGCTTTTCTGAAACCGTTTCTACTTGTGGTAAATCCTTTATTTTGTCATCGTCATTTGATTCTACTGCTTTATATTCCTTATCAGTATCACCAGTACGTTTTTGTTCAGCTATGGCTGGTTGTTCTAACGTTGCAGTTTGGTCGTCTTTTTCTGCACTTGATTTATCTTTTTCGCCAATACTAAGTCCGGGTTGGTCTTCATCTTCATCGTCGTCTATCTCAATTACAGGAATATACGATGCACTTCTTGTCTCAGTAATTTCTACATCCGGATCTTCTTCCTGGTGTTTTGCATCTTCAATATCATCTTCTATTTCAATCACATTCACAAGATCAGATTCGCATTGATCAACTTTATCTGCAGCCGAATTTTCATTTTCCTTGATTGGCTCTGAGCTTTTTTCCTTTTCGCAGGACTCATTTTGCGAGACGGGAGGCAATTCATTTGCCACTTCCACATCTTTTTTGACGTCGCTTTGGTTGTCGTCTGTATTTTTTGTTTGGATAGAAGTCGTAGGAGCATCAACATTAATTTCATTAGGCGAGGGCGGCTTTTCATCGATAACAAGTGGCAATGATTCTTGACTATCATCATGTCCTACCTCAAGTATCTCAGCATCAAGTTTTTTACTTTCAGTTTCTCCGGATTTTGTTAAAACGTCATTGTCTACTTCCATTGGCTCCTCTGTATTATCGTTTATTTGTTTTGATGGTACTTCAGTTAGCGCAGCACCCAATTCCTCATTATTATTTTTTAAAGGATTGACTGGCTCGGTAGGCGATGGAGTGCCAGATATATGATCGCCTTCTTTATTCGTTATTTCCATATCAGTAAGTTGATTTTTTTCTTTTTCTTGTGTGCTAGATAATATATTTATATCTTCCGTTACTTTGGCTTCGACTACGTCGAGCTCTTGCTCGGCATCCGCTTTTCCAGTTTCGGCTGATGCACTTTCCTTTTCTACTTCACTTATGTCCATTGTTTTTGTAATCGAAGTACTTCCACTTGATCCTTCCAATGGCTCATTGTGACAATCGGAGTGCTGATCGGCATTTTCATGAATGACCTGGGCCTCATCCACATGCGTACTCACCGCTTCGCCATTTTTTTCTACGTGGATTGCGTCCAAATCCACTTCACTAGATGATGCTCCAACATTGCTAGTTTCTTTTACACTTAGCTCAATGTTATCAGACATTTTAAAAGCGCACGGAATTTTCTGTATATATTTTTAATCGTTCTAAGCCCAATTGCATGTAGTTCTGCAAAATTAACAAGCCGCATAAACAAAAGATTTTTAATAGTTGCCATATCGCGTGACTTATTTGTAAAGTCAAACCATTCCATACACTATAAAAAATATCCTCACCAAACTTTTAAAATTTATTACTGCAACTATTATTTGTACATGCTAATTTTATTGAAGTGAAATGTGAAGTGATAAATAAATCTATATTTCAGAATTTAAGTTTATTTTAAATTGTTAGAAGTATTTTCATAAAACATCCACACACAATGACTTGTGCATATATTGCTGCTGACAGTTTAGTAGTTTGCAAAAATTCTTCAGTAGTGATGGCAAAAAAATAACAATCAGTTAATTAATCATTTTATTAAGTCAGCTTTCAGACACGTCAAGTCTTGCTTTCAAGTCTGCTCGTTCCTGGCGAAGGAGGTGAGCAGAGAGGGGAAGGGTACAGATAGCTCCGTACCATCAATTCGTTTCAAGTTTTCTGGTCTCTTTGGATCTTTTCGTTGCTTTCCATTTAAAGAATCAAGAACTTGAATTCAATAAAAATTTACTAGTCTGGAAGCAAATAGAAACCACAAAATGCTTTCAAGACTGAAAGGGGACTAAGCACAAGCCAAACAAATTAATTGCGATAATTGAGATATAATCGATTAATCGAATTTTTGAAGGAATTTGCAGTGGGTATTCACGAAAACACTTTTCCACATCGTACAGTTTCATAAGTAAAAACACTATCAGCTGATTGCCAAAAAATGCCTACAGCTGAGATCACCTATTTTTAGGCATGTGCTCTTATCTTATACAACTTCTTTCATTTCTATAACAATTTCTTTTATTTTTACTACAATTTATTCATAATACACTAACACACTAAACCAAAACCACCAATCCCACGACAGTCGGGTCTACGTAACCGGAACGACCCAGATTTATATTTGACCACTCCACTGTCACTCCAGCAACACTCCCCAAAAACTCTTTGGGGAATTTGTATGCTGCTACAACAACAACAACAACTAACCAAAAACACACCTACAGCCTGCCAGAAAAAACGGTTAGAAGAAGAGTTACTTGACTTATGGAACTGTACGGTGCTTTTCCGTAATACATTTTTTAATTTTCTTTTTAATTAGCCACAAAAGTTTTGATAAGCGTTCTGTTGTTAAGCAGTTGCGTTTTCGGTAGCAGTAGCACCAACTTTTGAAAAAAGCCGCTCAGCCGAAAACGATGTATCAACTAATTTACAATATTTTTCCGCAAGTCCGAAAAGTTTTGGGTAAACAGTTTCCATTTCCTCCCTAGCGTCGATGATATTCGGCTTTGGTTCTTAGACTTGATAGATAAATAAAAACTTATTTCTTCATGTGGGTGATCCAACTCATCATCTTTTCGCCTTCGTTTGGGTATCAGATTTATGAGGGGTCCAAAGATCGAACTCATTTTCTACTGATTTTAGTGAAGACTTGCTACCCGTTTCCATAATACGGCGTTCGCATGAGGCGATTTTCCAGGCAATTTTAGAGGCGATTAGTTGAATCAAAAGTTGGCTGCCCCCAACTTCATTGGAAGTGATTAGATAAAAGGCCGTTCACACCAGGCGATTGTTGCTTNTTGTTAAGCAGTTGCGTTTTCGGTAGCAGTAGCACCAACTTTTGAAAAAAAGCCGCTCAGCCGAAAACGATGTATCAACTAATTTACAATATTTTTCCGCAAGTCCGAAAAGTTTTGGGTAAACAGTTTTCATTTCCTCCCTAGCGTCGATGATATTCGGCTTTAGTTCTTAGACTTGGTAGATAAATAAAAACTTACNCACGCTTTTGTTCTTCACTTCGCAGATGCTTTTTTTGAAATGAATAAAAACCAAAAACAAAAATTAAAAATTACATGTTGCCTCTGACGATATTCGAACCCGAACATGCTGGGATCTAAGAACTAAGAGCTAGCATCTCTACAAGTTCAGCTACAGCCAGACATGCAAATGTACTTTCAAATGCTTAACTTCAATCACATTTCGTTAAAATACGAGCAGTGATCGGGTAACAATAAGTTGGTGCAGAGACACGAGTTGGTTCGCTACAGCATGACAGAGGAGCACTTTTGTAAGTACTCCAATATACCACAAATAGACTACATGGTCCAACGATTTTTGCAGGGTAGTAACGCTCTTGTTGGTGCTGTTGTCGTCGCTCTGCTGACGGTGGACGAGCGGGTGTCGTCCGTGCGCGGCTTCACATGCGGCTGTGGTGAGCGGCGATCGAAGCCGACTTTGGTGCTCACTACTTCTGGTGGTGATGTCTTGTCCTGTTTTATAACTAAACCAGGCATGCCCTGAGGGAAAAGCATTTTGGTTTTGTTTTTGTGTAGCAAAACTGTAATCAGAGGATGTAAGAAATGTCAACGAAAACACTAACATCCGGTGTGAACAGCCTTCACCCCACAATCCCAAAACTCGTTTCCAAAGTGTTTTCGTTGTCGGTCAGAACATGGTATTAAATAAAAGCAATTGGCTTTAGAAAGCAGAATACGTAAATATGAGTAGTTTTTCAAATCGCACTTTCATTATTAAGGTAAGTCCTTATGGTCTTTAAAAAACTACATTTACATAAATCTTCAAAGTAATTGCTGCCCCCTTTGTTTGTTTTTAGAAGGTAATTTGACTTCATTGTTCTCCGCTAAATCAACCTCTTTTAATACTTTCTTAAGGTTAGGTAAATGCCCAAAAGGTTTAAAAGTAATTGTAGCCACTGTGGTGTAGTGGTTAGCAGTGCGCGCTACCATTCCGCAGGGCCTGGGTTCAAGCCGGGTTCAACCCATTATCAAAAAAAATAATAATAATTTTTTTTC